TCAACTATGACGCATTATGTAAACTCAGCATAGTACTCAACACGCGAACACAGCCAACAAACCTGCCTGACTTAACTTTATTTACTTACTTATATTACCAACTTTACAAGGATTCTTGTATTATCCAACATCCAACAACGCGTGTTTTGTCTCGACTAATATTATTTATGTACATGACTAAAGATATCGTGAGATTTATTGTTTTTGGCAAAATACCCTACTGAAAAATCAATTTTTAACACGCTTTTATTAGCTTCATTTCTATCTATCTATCTATGTATCCAACGGAATCTTTGAACTCAATTTTCGGGAACTTCAAAGCTTCAGATTAAATAAAAAATTTGTACACTTATCAAAGAACGATGACAATACAATAATTTGATAAGTTTGTCTCATTATTCTAACCAGGATCTTCAGGATTGCTGATTTTTTATATCCAAAAACTTGCACTAAGTACTGACAAATGTACTAACACTCAAAAAAATAAATTTACTTAAATTAAGTAGATAATTTTGAAGAACTTCATTTTTTCTTCACTTTATCTTACATTTGTATATAATATAACTCAATACAAAATTAATTAACTAATTAATTAAGGGTTTACAAATAAATTTAATTTTAAATTTTAATGAAATACAGATAAATTATTTAATACAAAGAAATAATTTAAAGTGATATTTTAACATTGCTAATAGAAAATAATATTTTAAATCAGATCAAAGTAGAAAAATTAGAAGAGTTTACACTTTTTTCTCTCTCGCCTTGATGGCGATCTATTGGACAAATGGAAGTATTTCTGTCATACTTGTACAACAAATGCATAATTAAATGGAAATTTTTCAAGAAAGCACTTAGATAAAAATAATTTAATTATCTATTGAAGAGCGAAGCGTTTTTTTCGAAATTTTATCCTATTTATGAGCAAAATACGTTTGAAAATTAACTATCATACGCTCAAACTAATTTTTCTTGAAAAAAAAAAATTATTTGAATCAAGTAAATAATTTTGAAGAACTTTATCTTCTTGATTTAAATAAAAAAAACTTCTTAAGCTAAGAAATTTTACTTGATTTAAGAATTTTTCATCTTGGCTCAAGTTGAATTTTTTTGAAAATAAATAGTATAGGTTAATCTTTAAGACAAGCCTATGACTAAGGGCAGGATCAACCAGGGAATTTACTACGTTTTATAATTAAAAAAAATTACAGTTTCAAAACGTAAAATGGAGGTCAATCGAAGTTATAAGTAGAAGATAAGCAATAGTTTGAAAAAATTAAAAACACTGTTTAATAAAAAATCAAACTGAAAAGTAGAAAATAATTTTTAACGAGTTCAAAATAAAAATAGAACGGTTTTTTTTTTTTACAATAAAATTAATTTGTTTGTTAATCACTTTTATTTTAAAGTCAATGAAAATTATTTTCTACTTTTTAGTTTTTTAAAGTGTTATTTATGAATTTTTTCAAATTTCTATTGACAATATAAATTGATTGTTTTTTTTTTTAATTATAAATTTATTTGAAATTTTACGTAATTGAACTTGAAATTTGATAAGAAATAACAGCATCACGTGGAACCAGAAAGTTACGTAACGCAAATAAGGGATAATTGGTTGAAAGCTTTTGCGTACTTGGTTACGTTGCGCTAATTAATATATTGTATTAATTAACCTTCAACGGTGAACCTTGCCATTAATTAATTGTTTTGTTATTCATTAATAGTCATTTATAGCATTTATAAATTGTTTGTTTTTTGTTGTATTAATTGACTCAAATTACAATTAATGTGAAACTTATGGATGGACGGAAAAATAATGAAGAGCTATCTTCATGAAGTTTGTTTGAGAATATTGACCTAGACATTCTTGTGGGCTTCAATTGTAATATGTACTGTAAAAGAGCGGTAACTGTGAGCCAAAAGTCTGCTATCGCGGAAATTGACTGACGGGAAACTCCTTGAATTCGTTGTTTAAACTTGCTCGTTTTGGCAAGCTTACAGTTAGTATTAAATGTTATCTTTATTAATAGAAGACAGATGGTAGGAAAATTTTTTTTGCAATTATTTTAATATTTTATTGTAAATTATGATTGATTTTTTATTTTCAGTAATTAGAATTTTGAAAAAAAAAATTTTTTTTCAAAATTTTATTTAATGAAAATAAAGAATTGATTAAGAAAAATTAACAAAAAATTTTTTTTTACTAAAATTAATCATTTTTATTTAACCAATTGATTTATTTTAACAAAATTAATAAAAAAAAAATATATTTTTAATAATTCTCAGAAAAATTTTTTTAATAAAAAAAATTTTTGAACCAACCACAGCTAAATTTTAATTATAAAAATAATAATTTTTTCTAAAAAAAAATAATGATAAAAAGAAATTAATCATTATTTAAAATAATTATTTAGTTATGGAGGATAATATTTATAGACATTAAAAATTTGGCAAAGAATTCAAGTTGGCGCCGGTATAAAATAGCCGGTCTATACAATAGTCTTCTTCTCCCCCCTGAATATAAAATCTATTTATAAATAAACGATTTTATTTTTGTATCAGGAAAGAAAGATCTGACAGTTGAAGAAGATTAATCGTGTAAATTATTGACTAATTTAAAAATTTTAAAAAAGATATTTGCAACCGGTTACGAAGGTACCGGGTTCGAATCCCAGCTTGGGTAAATTATAGTCCCTGAATTAAAAACTTTTTTCCAAATAAATTTTTGAAAGTTAATCCATTCCAGACAAGCAATCTAATGATTTTTAATTTTGCTTTCAGTTTCCTGGTGAGTGCATCCTCACATACATGGAGTTTCAGCTGGATAGCGCGGAATACTGCCAGGCTCAACACAAATAGAGAGACACGCCCCGTACGTCCTAACATCATTGACTAGATACTTTTTTTTTTTTTTGAGGAACGGGTTAATACGAAGAAAAGTTTGAGAGAGCGAAAGAAGAAACGAGTGAGAACATCGGATTACGACATTAAGTATTTAGATCACGATCAGAGAGCCTGTTAAGTAAATCACAACTAGTCATCACTGCAAGAAATAGTTAACAAATTTATTATATTAGATAAATTTTAAATCTTCATTGTCATATGCAGACTTCGTAGTTACTGCGTGCGCTTTGTCATTGAAAAGTGCCCAGTGCCAAATAGGTAATTGCTTTTTTTATTATTTTAGATATTATATATTCTTCTCTGCTTATCATTATCGCTGTTCTTTTAATTATTATCTTCTTTTATAGTCAGAATAAAATTTTTTAATAAGTAATTACATTTTTATGGTACTTATAAAAATTTTTAATTCATCATTAAATTTTTAGAAAAATTTATGATGATCTTAGTAATTTTTTAGTTTTATAGTCAATTAAACTTTAAAGCGTAACAATGATATTTAAATAAATTTTTCTTTAAGTTCTCTAATAATAGAACTAGCAACCTAGCAGTCACTGTGTGACTGTCGTGACTTGTAAACTATAAGTAAATGAAATTTTGCTTTATTAAATAATGACTTTTGTTAAATTGCACTGTACTTTCTTAAATATTGACGTTTTTAAAGATATAAGCTCATTCCGATGTTGCACTCATCAAGAGCTTTCATTTGAGTACCCACATGCATTTTCATATATTTTTCATATATACATATATATATAATATATATAAATATATGAAAAATTGATGTGAGTACTCAAATGAAAGGTTTTGATGAGTGTAACATCGAAATGAGCTTATATCTTTAAAAATATCAATATTTCACAAGATACAAGGACATTTCTTCATTATTGATATTTTTTATGATATAAGCTCATCCCGATGTTACACTCATCAAGAGCTTTCATTTGAGTACCCACATGCATTTTGATATATTTGTCATATATACATATATATAAATATATGAAAAATTGATGTGGGTACTCAAATGAAAGGTCTTGATGAGTGTAACATCGGGATGAGCTTATATCTTTAAAAATGTCAATAGTTCACAAGATACAAGGTCATTTCTTAATTATGTATCGAGAGATAGAGCATTTTTTTTCTTATTCTCTTAATAATATAGATTATCAAAAAGAATGTTTTTAAATTTTTTATGCAAAAAAAAAAAATAAAGTAGTTGATTGTACAACTAAATAATTATCAAAAAAATTTGAGTGATTCTTTAATTAGTAGACTTTTTTTGATTTTTAATAAATTTTTAATAAAAAAAATGTTAATTCAAAATTTTTATTTGAAAAAATAATAAATTTTAATTTATTTTTAATAATTTACTGTATTTAATTAATTATAGAGAACACAATGCGATCAATCATGTCAATATAATATCAAATCTAATTATCATTGATATTGTCAACATGAATGCACTATTTGCGGTGTATCTTGTCGATATTTTAACCTAATAAGCACTCGGTATTTAATTACCAACAATATATAATTAAATTAAATAATAATTAAGGAAACTGACGTTAAACTGAATTATAAACTGAAACTAACATCAACTATGTTTCTTATTTTTGTTTCAGATAATCTTCCTAATAGCGCATATCACCGTCTAATGTAACGTAAATAGCAAGTTTAAGCGAATTTCGCACCCCTTTAAAACCCTTCCCGAGGTCTACATGTGAGAATCCATTGTTCTATCCTCTGTAAAAAAATAATTACTTTATTAAAAATTGGTTATTAGTTAAATTTAATTAAGATCAAGGAGAATTTTGTTAAACAAATAGCAATTATAAGACTGACATCTAATGGGCTAAAGAGTTAATTCAGCCACGACACGGTGCAGTTAATATTTTGAACACACGGGAACCAGCTTCTTTTTTTTTTTTTTTTTTTTATTTTTATTTATTAATATTAATTCAACATCAAGTTCTGAAGAAAATAAATAAGAAGAAAATATTTAAACAAACTAGGGATTTTATTTATATTTATTGTTAGTTTTTTTTTCTTCAGTTTATTCTGTAAGAAAAAAATAATTTTATACTCGTGTTGTTCAAAAGGAAATGAGCAACATGAGAGTCAAGGATATCAGACCGGCACCTGCCGAAATTGAATACAAAAATATGAAATTCCTTATTACTGATCGGCCCAATGATCAGACTATTCTTACCTTTATTCAAGTAAGTTTTTATAATTTTTTTAATTATTTTAAAGGAACTTTGACTTAAAAACAATTAAAATTTTTTTAATTAAATCTACTATAAATTTTATAGCTGGTTCATTTCAAATCAGTTTTTTTTATTATTTTACTGTAAAATAACTTACAATTTAAATTAATAATTAATAAAAATTAATGAAAAAATTTTTTTGTAGAAAAAAAAAGTATTTCATGTAACAGTTCCTTTCATTTATTGTAATTTTAAAGAATATTTATTAATAAATATTGTTTAATTTATTAGGAACTGAAGAAGCACAATGTAAAGGAGGTAGTGAGGGTCTGTGAACCAACGTACAAAGTCGAAGAGCTTAAATCTGAAGGAATAAATGTTTTGGATCTGGTTTTTGATGATGGCACATTCCCACCAAATGAGGTAATTTTTTTTTTTATTAATTTTAATAAGAAAAAAATTTTTTAAGAGTTTTCAAAAACTTTTACAATTATTTTTAATGTATAATTTTTACTAGCAACTTTGCAGTCATTATGTGATTTCCGTGACTTGTGAACTATAACTAAATAAAATTTTGCTTTATTAAATAATGACTTTCGTTAAATTGCACTGTACTTTCTTAAATATTGACGTTTTTAAAGATATAAGCTCATCCCGATGTTACACTCATCGAGAGCTTTCATTTGAGTACCCACATCAATTTTTCATATATTTATATATATTATATATATGTATATATAAAAAATATATCAAAATGCATGTGGGTACTCAAATGAAAGGTCTCGATGAATGTAACATCGGGATGAGCTTATATCTTTAAAAGTGTCAATAGTTCACAAGATATTTGTTCAATTGAGCAGTACTTTTTTAAATATTGACGTGGTTAAAGATATAAGCTTATCCCGATGTTACACTCATTAAGACCTTTCATTTGAGTACCCACATCAATTTTTCATATATTTATATATATTATATATATGTATATATAAAAAATATATCAAAATGCATGTGGGTACTCAAATGAAAGCTCTTGATGAGTGTAACATCGGAATGGGCTTATATTGTTAAAAACATTATTAGTTGACAAGATAGCAGTCAGTTCTTAATTATTGACATTTTTTAAGATATAAGCTCATCCCGATGTTACACTTATCAAGAGCTTTCATTTGAGTACCCACATGCATTTTGATATATTTTTCATATATACATATACATAATATATATAAATATATGAAAAATTGATGTGGGTACTCAAATGAAAGGTCTCGATGAGTGTAACATCAGAATGAGCTTATATCTTTAAAAATGTCAATAGTTCACAAGATACAAGGACATTCTTTAATTATCTATCTAGAGATAGAGTATTTTCAAACGCAACCTAAATACTTGTCATTATTAATTGACTATTGGTGAGAATAATATGAAACCTTGAAAAGGCACAACTCAAGGCTAAGAACTTTCTAATGATACCAAATTTAACCATAAAAACCCATTTTATCATATAAATACACTAACCACAAAATTTTTGTTATTCTCTTAATAATATAGATTTTAATTATTTTTTTATTAGTCATAAACATTTAGAATTCATTAAAATTCTACAAACTATTATTATCATCATTATTTAAAAAAAACTCTAGAGTATAATTACAGTCTAATAACTTAAAAGTAAATTTATTTTATAATCACTAAAAAAATACCTCAGATAAGAATATAAATACTGATTATTAATCTAATTAATGAATATGCAGGTGGTTGACGAGTGGTTCGAATTATTAAAAAACCGATTCCGAGAGACACCCGATGCATGTGTAGCGGTACACTGCGTCGCTGGACTGGGTCGAGCGCCTGTGTTAGTAGCACTTGCTCTAATTGAACTTGGACTCAAGTACGAGGATGCCGTTGCTCTTATCAGAGAGTACGTATACACATTTTTTTTTTTTCAATTACTCTAATTACTTGCTCTCAAATTGAATTAAATTTCCAACAATTACTATTGATATTAATTTTTACTTAAATTTACACACCATCTGAATAAATTTTAAATTAAAAAAAACTAATTAATTTTTATATCAATCTAGGAAGAGACGAGGCGCTATCAATTCAAAGCAATTATCTTACTTGGAAAAATATCGTCCCAAGTCTCGACTCAAACTCAAGAACGGCCAGAAGAATTCGTGCTGCGTCCAGTAGATACTTAATATTTTTTAAAGCGGGGTTCTCTCTTAAATAATTCATTAATTAATTAAATAAAACTAAAAAATTAAACAATCGATAATTAATAATTGGTAAAAAAAAAAAAAAAAAAAAATTTATAATAATACATTAATTGCACACATGTGACAAGTGACATATTGTATCAATTATTTACATACATACATACATATATGTATATATATTTATATAAATATATATCTATTTTCAAAATGGCCTATCAATGGAAATGCAACCGGCTTGTTTCATAAAAATTTTGTAAATTGCATTCACTAATTTGTATATTTTTCATTATCATTATTATTATTATTATTATAATGAATATAATTGCTATTATATTTAATATAAATATAATAAATAACAAACTTTGGAACTGATTAATTAAAAAAAAAATAATTAATTTTTGATACTACTTCTGTATCCTTGTACATTTAATTATTATTTATCATCGCGGATTTTATGTCCTCATAAATTACCTGAGTTTAAATTAACAATAAAACAAACTTGTAATTGTTACTTTGTGATAAAATTATTTTTTCGACATTTAAATCGTTCCTACCCAATTGAAAATTTAATCATTCATGGCTTTAATTTTTTTAATTATTTTTCAATTAACTCGCCATGGAGGTACTAAATAAATTCGACAATAAAATTAAAAAAAAACCTCGAGCTTATAGTTATTACATAGCAATACAATTACCCGATAATTAAAGGCTTTTGATAAATATTGAGAGCCTTGGACCGTGCAATTATTCACCAAACATCACAATAAATATATTAAATAATATGTAGATAGATAAAACGTTTTAATAATCTCGAGGTTTTTCAGATAATTAATTTAATTTTATTTTATTAATTATTTATCATTAAGAGTCGTTTGCATTTCCACTGGCATGCCGATTGGATCTTCTTAAACTTTCTGGATTCTGCATAACTCGATCTTGTTTTTTTATAAGGTTTTTCGTGCCCTTTATATTATTATATGAGCTCAATGGCAATTTTATAAAAGCTACATTTTATTTGTAAATTTTAATTAATAATCATTATTATTATTATTGTGGCTGAAAAAAAATAAAAAATACAAATCCCCGTTCGATAAATATTTAAAAACCGACTGCACTTTTTTCACCGTAATAAAATTTTTATTTAAGAGTAAATTTTGTAAAATTGTCAGTGACACTGTGCGCCACGCTAAACTGTGTTCAAAAACTAATTACAAAAAAAAAACCAAATAATACTTATATATTTCACTTGGATATACATCTCGATCATCTTTTTAATTGTCTAATTGCTGTGAATGTACTTGAGGTATACATTTAGTGTAAAATATAAAAATAGTTCTGATTAATAATTTTTTAAAAATTTTTTCTTATAATTACAAATTATTAATAAAAAAATTTTGTTATTTTAAAAATATGATAAATTTTTTTATTTTAAATTTTGAAAATAATTTTTTTTTTAATCTTTCAAATTTAAGAAAAAAATTTTTTTTTTAATTAATTAATCAGAACTGTGTAATTAAAAAGTATCACTTAGTCGACATAATTTATACATATTATTTAAAAAAAAATATTTTTATGAAAACCGTCCGTTGAGTTATTTTTAAAAATACTTAACAGTAAAAAAAAAAAATTAGTTACATAAATTACAAAAAATTTGGTAAATATTTACAAGTGGGTAATTTTTATTTTTTTGAACGAAATTGCTATTTAATTTTATTGATATATAGTTTTTTTGAAAAATAAATAAAAAAAAAAATTGATTATCTCACAATTTTAATAAATTTTCAAAAAAATTTATAAATTTTTTACAAAATTGTAATATTCAACTTTTTTTTTTTAATTTTTTATTTTTTCAAAAAATTACAATTTAAATTGTTCATTTAAAAAAAAAAAAAAATTATCAAAATTTGAAGGCAAAAAAACTATCAAAATATTTTTTTTTTTCAAACTTTTTATCATAAATGCGCCGTAAAAACAAGCAGAAAAAAAATTGTAAATAATTACCAAAAATTTTAATTGCCTTATCAAGTTTTATAAAAAATATTTGTATTTTTTTAAGAACAATTGTCAAATATAAATTAAGTTTTTGAGCGGTACATTCACTTCAATAGACTAGTTAATTAAAAAAAAAATAATAATAATAATAAATACTAATAAAATAAATAAATAAAAATAAAGTACATAACAGGTAGACTTTTTGTTTTTGTACAGTTTAAAACTGCAATATTTTTTGTCAGAGGATGGGACTATGGACGTTCATAACAACAAATCGTATTGAACCTTAGCTTATACTTTAAATAAATAAATAATTGATAATAATAATTATAAAAATTATTATTAATTTAAATAAAATATATTCAAAATCAATATAATCTTTTTCTTTGAATTGTAATGCCAATTAATTGCGTACAATTAATTTTTTTTCAATCATTAGCTTCCTTATTAACTGGAAATAATTTTGTTTAAAAATAAAAAATCAGTAATTAGTTACCAGATTTGTAAATTTAAAATAAAAATTTTAAATTTTTATTAAAAATAATGATAATAAAAAAATGTTATAATTTTAAATAAAATAAATCGCGCATCCATTAATCTCTGCAAGCATTGTCAGGTCTCAAAAGTAATGAGTATTCTGTGTATGCGCGACTGTGATATATTATTTTTTCGCTTAATGTCGAAAAAAAAATATTAATTAATTAAATAGAAAAAAAAAAAAAATAAAAAAACTAAACAAATGTTTAATGTTTTTTTTTATTTTAAATTTAAAATAAATTTCATACGTTTGGTAACTTCATTAATTATATTATTGATAAATATCATTAATAGTGAATAATTAATAATATTTTGATGGATAATAACTCTATGAGCTGAAAATGTTGATACAATGCGCTTTTTGCAACTTTTTTTTTATACATTTATTTTTATTTGCTATTTAATAATTAAGAGCAGATTTTCTTAGTTAAAAAAAAAATAAACAATGTATTGTGTATTGATTTAATAATTATCTGTAACTGTTTTTTTTTAGATGCTGTAAAAAAATTTTCAACTTACAATACTGACATTAAAAACTTTTTTTTTTTTTTTCAATAAAAATATGTAAATTTTTCAACAAGCACAATTTATATAATTGTTGATGTTTATTTATTTTTATCCTTTATTTTTTTTCCTAACAAAATTATTCTTACAAGATATTAATTAAAAAAAAATGCAATTTTAAATTTGATAATTACAAGTAATTAAAAATTCATAAAACAATTTGTATGAATTTTTTTTGTTTATTAATTCCATGTTTTTAACAATATAAAAAATTGTGAAGTTTTAAGAGAAAAAAGACTATTACATAAACATATCATCGTATCCAGGAGGTGGAAGATGGTCATGATCAGGATTTCCACGTGGTGGACGTGGTAAGTTATTGTCTGGTGGTCCAAATGGGTCAAATCTTGCACCTGGTGGTATTGCGCCACTGAAAAAAAAAATAATTTTAATTATTTATGACCTGGAGCTGTGCCTCTTCATGGTTTCATATCATTCACGCCAATAGTTAATTTATGATGATAAGTATTTAGGCTGCATTCGAAGATGCTCTTTCTCTAGATACATTATTAAGAAATTACCTTGTATCTTGTCAACTATTGACATTTTTAAAGATATAAGCTCATTTCGATGTTACACTCATTGAGACCTTTCATTTGAGTACCCACATCAATTTTTCATATATTTATATATATATTATATATATGTATATATAAAAAATATATCAAAAATGCATGTGGGTACTCAAATGAAAGCTCTTGATGAGTGTAACATCGGGATGAGCTTATATCTTAAAAAATCTCAATAATTAAGAAATGACCTTGTATCTTGTCAACTACTGACATTTTCAAAGATATAAGCTCATCCTGACATTATACTCATTGAGACCTTTCATTTGAGTACCCACATCAATTTTTCATACATTTATATATATTATATATATGTATAATAAAGCAAAATTTTATTTATTTATAGTTCACGCCACGGCAGTCATATAGCGACTGCAAGGTTGCTAGTAAAAATTATTCTCAAAATTTTTGATTGTTAAATAGTTCAAAATTACAATTAAATTTTGAAATAAATGAAAATATAAATAAACTAATTTTATTTTATCATAATTATAGACGATAAATAAAATTTGATCGTATAATAGCAAAAAAAAATTTTTATTCCATTAAAAATATATCACAATGACTAATTACTATTACTATTATATAAGTTCAAGACTACCGTATATATTTCTTAATTAAAAAAAAATAATAAATTCTTACACATGTCATACATACATTACATAAGTTATAGAAATCTTTTTTACAAATCACATATAATAATAAACAATAAAAAAAATACTCACGGTGGTAAAAAAGCAGGACCACCAATCCCTCCAGGACGACCGGGAAATCTTGGATTGGGTAAATTCCGATCTGGTTGAAACGGGTCGAAGAGCATGCCACCACCACGAGGACCAACACCAGCAAAAGGATTTAAATCAGCACGACCTACCGCCCGCGGATCTGTCGCAGGATCCCTAAAAAATTAAACCAATTAATTATGAAAGTTCCTTGACTAATTAATTAATTCCGTACAACTGGACAATTAATGTCCAGACACTCTGATAAGAGAACCAACATTAACTATCAATGTCATCCTCAAAGTAATTTGTATTGTGTATATTTATCAAAAATCTTGGACCCAGCAGTAGATTTAAATTTCAGAAAAAAGGTTTATTATTGATGATATTTAATTGAAGGTCAGGATTGACAAGAGAGGATCAGTGGTAAGGAAATGACCATAAGTCTGCAAAGACATCTGAATCATGGGATATCTGTAATATTATATATTAATTAAATATCTTTACCAACGTGGTGGTCGTTGAGGAATATGAGGAGGTCCTACCCTCAGTGGATCGTTGTCAGGATTAGAGGGTCTGCGACCTTCGCTCTGAGATGTCTGGGTGGACATCTCTCTGGCAGTTCCTGTGTAGACAGGCTCAACAAGATCCTCACGGATTTTATTCATTACCTCTTGATATGTCGGTATCAGAGTTGACAGTCCTCCGTGGATGCTGTTCACTACTGTCTCTGTTTGGAATTTAACGTTTGATACTCCATTATCATCTACTCTCTGTGAAAAAAAATTAGTTATTAATTAAAAGAAATTTTAAACAAAAAATTCAGTGTCACATTATAATGAAACTAAAATTAAAAGACACTAGAGAATTTTTTAATTTAAAAAAAAAAAAAAAACTAAGCTCAGAAAATTATTTTTAAGAAATTGCATTTATTTTTTTTTTAGACTTTTAAATATGGAATTTATTTAAATAAATTTTCTTTGATATAATTTATGTCTAAAAATTTTTTTTAATTAATTAGATTTCTCTTAATTTAAGGATCATCTTATAATATCATTATTATTATTATGAAATTCTAGACTGATGAGGATAAATAAAAAAAAAATGTTATATTTAAATTATCAGACATTTGATAACCTTTAGAATGTTTTTTTAATTAATAATAATAATAATAATAATAAATAAAAATGATAAAAAAGTATGAATGGAATTTTTTTTAAATGATTTATAGAGCTAATTTATTTTTAATTAATAATAATAATAATAATAAATAAAAATGATAAAAAAGTATGAATGGAATTTTTTTTTAATGATTTATAGAGCTAATTTATTTTTAATTAATAATAATAATAATAATAAATAAAAATGATAAAAAAGTATGAATGGAATATTATTAAAATTATAGAACTAATTTTTTTTTTAACTAATAATAATAATGTATGAATGAAATTTTTTTTTAATTAATTATAGAACTAATTTATTTTTAATTAAAATAAAGATAAAAATGATAAAAAAGTATGAATGGAATTTTTTTTTAATGATTTATAGAGCTAATTTATTTTTAATTAATAATAATAATAATAATAAATAAAAATGATAAAAAGTATGAATGGAATATTATTAAAATTATAGAACTAATTTTTTTTTTAACTAATAATAATAATGTATGAATGAAATTTTTTTTTAATTAATTATAGAACTAATTTATTTTTAATTAAAATAAAGAGCGCGCAGTAGCCTATCGGATCCGGCCCTTGCTACCAAAGCATTGGACCGGGTTCGAATCCGGCGTACACCAATGAATATTTTCAATATTTAAGTGTATTATTCTGCTCAGCCCAAGAAATACAAACGAGTTCCAATCTCAAAAGTTTATCCCCTACCGTAGTCGCTCATGACCTTAGTAGTTTGTGCGACTTTAAACAAATTAAAAAAAAAAAATTAAAATAAAAAATTAACAGATGTCTGCTTATTTTAGTATCATTATAAAGATTGATTTAGCAGATATTTGATAATTTTAAGAATTAAAATTTTTAGATATGGGCTAACTTTTGATCAATTTTTTTCATGTTTTTTTGCCATTATTTATTTGTGGCAAAAGTTTTTTTTTATTAAAAAAATATAAAAAACAATAATTTAATTTTTATAAAAACTTGAAAAACTATAAGTGCAATTTTTGAAAAATAATTTTTAGTTCTAATTTCATAAATAAAAAACAATCAAAAATGTCGGCTACGAAAAAAAATATTTTTTAAAAATTGCTCATAGTTTTTAAAGTTTTTTACAAATAAAATTTTTTTTTTATTTTTTGTAATAATTTTTTTAATAAAAAAAAATTCTAAAAAGTTTTAGATGTCGATTAACTTAATTTTTATCCGCTAACTATAGTACTATAAAAAATTGTCAAGTGACTGCTAACTTTAATGTCATAAATAATTAAATAAATTACCAATAAATTAAGCAGTAAATTATTATCAGATTTTCTTCCCAGCAAGATATATAATTGACCTTCCTTTAAATATCTCAGTGCATAAAAATCTTTGTGATTCCATCCTTCAGGCAAAAATTCATGACCTTCTGTGTTCGGTTCAACTGTTTTCTGCAAAAATATTAGTTTTTAGGTTATGAACTAATTGATAAATTTTCTGCAATTAAAATAAATAAATTTACAAGAAAAATTTTATTAATTGACAATAATCTGTAAATAAGTTACCTCATCACCAAGTCCAATGCATTTGAATCCAGTTTTTATAAAAAACCAATGAGTAAACAGAATCAGCACATCTTCCTTTTTAGTTAGCTGATTATCTACCAATTTATTGAGCATCTCAAAACCAAAATATTCGGCGGTATTCGCCATCGTTTTTATTTACTTATAATTAGGCGTTTACGTTAAATTGTTGGTGAATTTATGACCAAACTTGATAAATAAACACAATAGCTTTTCACAATGTTAGTATAAAGTCGCAATAGTCAGTTTTAAAACATGGACACCCGGTACTGTTTTAATTCACACGATGACTTTTAAAAACACAAGCAAGGTATTAATTAAATTTTTAATGAATAATTTTGAAAGATAAATTAATTTCTAAACGGAATTTTGAATTTTTTTTATTTATGTCAAAATATTTAAGCCAAAATGAATTTTTAAAAAATCAATTTTGAACCGCTTTATAATGGTGCTGTCATCTGACAGAAAATTTATAAAACATAAGAATAGCAAAATTTTAAATTTAAAAGTTTATTATAATTATTATTTTTTACAATGAAAATTAAGTATACTGACAATTAAAATTTGTTTTTTTTTTTTTATTGAAAAAATTATTACAAAAAAAAATAAGAAAAAAAATTTCATTTGTAAAAAACTTGAAAAAAGTGAAAATTTTTTGTTTCAATTTAATAAATGAAAAAAAAAATAAAATTAGAAACATCAGCTAACTTTTGTATTATATTCTTTTTACAAGTAATTATATTACAAAATTAGAATATTTAAAAATTATCTGCTATCATTTAAAATTTAACTTCTTAAATTTATTTTTTATCATAAAAATAAAAATTAAATTTTATAAATAAAGTAACAATAATAATAACTTAAAATGATTTAATAATTAATACCTATATTTCAAAAATCATTGATTTATATTTTAAGTAAAATACTCCTTGATTTTATTCTTACATTATGTACAATTATTAATCAATAATAAATTGTAGTCTTCTTAATTCAGAGTATCAATTTATCAAAATTAAATTATCAATCTTTAGACTTACACGTTTTTTTTTTTAATTAGCCAGAATTTGATATAAGTTTATTTTTTTTCTTATTCAGAAACATTTAAATCATTATGATGAATAAAAAAAAGTATTGAATTGACCAGAAAATCAATACTTTTTTTTTTTAATCAGGGTACTGCTATAGTCTTCTTAAGTATTCTTATTACAGTATATCAAATTTCTTGCTAATTAAAAAAAAATCTCAATTAACTTCCAAATAAATCAGTATTTATTTTAATAATTATTATCATCATCAGTATCAGAATCAGTTTCCTGTTCATAAGGATTTGGTGGTCTTACTGGTGAAGTTGATCCTTCAATTTCTTCTTCACTTTCATCAGCTTTTTTGTCTTTACCACTTAATGCGTAACGTCTCCAAGGGTATCTAAAATAAAAAAGTACTACTCAACAAAAATTACTCAAAAAAAAAATTATTTCTTTATCAGAAAAATAATCAAAAATTGAAGTAATTTTACACAAACTTTACAATCAATTTGTTCCAAATAAAAAATCTCAATTTAACAAAAATCAATCTCAAATTACCTTTTCTTATGATCAAAACACTCCTCAATAAAAACATGTGAAACAATTTTAGCATGTCCTTGAAGCTGCTGATACTTAGGCGTATTTTTAAAAGCACAAATCAAGTGCGTGCATTTATTATCCGTGGTATTAGGATCAGCAACATACTTAGCACCCATCTTCAGAGCTTTCCTCCTGACTTCATCCCGCTGAGGATTAACATACCCACTTAACGAGAACCTGACATCAACTAGCAGCTTAGAAAACTCTTTCTTAACAGTCCTAACTTCCTTAACCTTAGCTTTCTTCCTTGGCGGAGACTTATCGGTTTTCGGAGCAGGTAACTTCTTACAAACTTTGCAAAATTCATCAGGACTTCTCGAACAGACATTACACTTATCCTTAGCCTTATCTTTACTGACTAATTTACCCCCATCAACCTTTGAAGTAAAAGCTCTATCAACCTTCTTCTTGTCAACTACTTGCTTAGGAGTTTTCTTCACCTCAGGCGGGATGACATCACCAAAAGGCGTCCTAGCAACGTCAGTCAACCTTCCATTGTCATAATTATGATTAACATTACTAAACATACTACTGTTATTACTATTATCAGAATTACCAGAACTAGACTCAGAATTATTTTTTTTACCAAAAACCTCGTCGCTCTTACCAGCCTCGAGTTTTTTTAACAGCGGCCTCTTCCTCGGTTTTTTTTCTTCGCTCTCCTGTCGCTTGTTAAAATTACTCAGCCGAGTTTCCTTCATTTTCTCCAGCAAGCTGTCTTTGTAGCTCTTCTGCTTGTCAGGCAGCAGTTTCATGAACCGTTCCTTGAAATTTAGCATTGAATCACTCTCACTCGAGTCCTCAGACTTGAGCTTGAACCTCCCAAAGACGTCTATACCTGTATCTAGAATAACTTCCGTGCGCAGGGTGATGAAACTCAGGCCAAAAAGCTCCCTTAAATTAGCAGACTGCAAGCACGTGACTTTCACCCTGTCAAATTTAGTCTTGATTGCTTCCGCCTTGAGCTCTTTTTTTGTAAACAACTGGACCTGGTCCTTGAACTTGCTGTTGGCTGCCTCCTCGTGGGTCATGAACTGGTGATTCACCAGCGGGACCCAGTTGTCCGGTTCCTGGGAGGTTGATGCATCCACTATCACTACGCAGGACCTGTAATTGCCTATGTCAAGGCCGATTATACATGATGACTCTGGAAGCTCGAAGATCACTGTTGACAGCCGCTCGCCGGGCTTCGCACACTTCCATGGTCCTGGTGGCGGATTGTGCAGGAGGTTTGATGCTGGGTATGAAGGGTGTTCTGAGGAACAGCTGATTATTTTTTCTAGTTTTATTATCATTGTTTTTTTAGTTGTTTATTTTTTTTGTGGATAACGTGCTGGATAAACCATAACCTCAAGAGCACTTTTATTTTTTATAGTCACTTTGTTTTTGTTTTTTAAATTAAATAACTTTTTTTTTTCCACTGATAAAAAATTGAAATATACTCGGTTATTATTTTAGTCTTTGAATTTAGTTTTTTTAATTAAAAATTTTTGGGAATATTTTTACATGTTAGTAAACACAGAATTACTTGGCGGGAGAATTTTATGGCCACTTTTACTTACCTCAATTTTGAAGACAATTTTTTTAAATAATCCACGACGGCTTGCACATGTGCAGAAGGTAGTGTATTGTTGATACTGCAAGAGTCAAATATCAAATAAAAAGTGTGATTTGTTTACGTAGTTAATTTTTACCTGTGCAATTTTTTTTTTAAATAAAACAGAGATAATTTTTTGACATTGAAGTTTTAGCAACACTTTAATTTTTTTTTGATTTTATTTGACAAATTTTTTCCAAAAAATTATTTCACAAAAATTGCATTTTTAATTTATTAAAATTTTTACACGTCGATTTTTTTTTGCCATTATTTATTTGTTACAAAAATTTTTTATCAAAAATCTGATAAATTAATTTATGATACTAAAATTAGCTGACGTTCAACAATTTTTAGTTTTTTTTCAACAATTAAATTACACTTAAAAATAATATATTAGTATACTTATACTTAAAAAAAAATTTCATGTATAATTTTTCAAATTTTCTACATGTGAAATTTTTTATTTTAATTTTTTTGTAATAATTTAATGAAAATAATTAATTTTAATATAATTTTTGACACTTTTTTCGTTTATTATTCATGTCACATACTTTAAATCTGTATTTTAAATTATTTCTTCTTATTAAAATCCGAGGTTAATTTTTATGATAATCTTAAACTGTCCAATAAAATTAAAAAAAATTTTTTCAAGCAAAATTTACAAATTTCCTGAATCACTACTTAAAAATAAAAAGTGAGAATTAGCATCAAGCCGCCATATTGGATTATTCTCACCATCGCTCGGTAATTAAATTAGGCGGGAAATGTTCCCTAACTACTAGCGCCATCTTCAGTAAATTTTTAAAACTAAAACTTACTGCGCGCATAAGTAATTTTAACCTCATGACTTATAATAACTAACACGTGTTCGTAATGTTTACAACAAGTAGTCCTTAGTAAATAAAAATTAAACTCCTATTTTTTAATGATATAAATTAAAAAAAACTTATAATGGCTTCCTATAAAATTCATAATGTTCGTTTCTACAATCTTGAACCAAGATCAATTGTGTGTATGTGCTACGACAATGTCAATGAAAAATTAGCAGTTGCTAGGTTAGTCTATTATTTATATTAAAATTTAATTAAAAAAAACCTTCCAAATTTTAATTAAAAAATTTACAATTAATTAATATTCCCCAAAAAATTGTCAAATATAAAAGACTATTAAAATACTCCAAAATTTTACATTATTAATTTAGCACATATATTGAATAATTTTAAAAATTTTATAGCAAATAAATTGACATGTAGAAATTTTAAAATATAAAAAATGTAATTTTTTAAAAATAATTTTTGAAAAAAATTTTTTTGATAAATAAAATTAAAAAATTTTCAAGTGACTGTTAACTTAAATCTCATAATTTTACAGAAACGACAACACAATAGAACTATGGAACGTGTCTTACGCTCCATTCCTAGAATCAACAATCGTAGACCACCTAGAAGAGTCAATCGAGTCAATGATATTCATCAACCAGAACCGCCTGCTATCAACCGGCTTGCGAGGTTTCGTAACCGAGTACAACTTATCAACCCTGAGTAAAAAAAATGAACTAGCAGTCACCGGGGGCGCAGCCTGGTGTCTGGACATCAACCCCAGCAAAACTCGAGTAGCAGTCGGTACCGAGGACGGCTACATAAATATTTTCACAGTTCTACAAGACTTTCTCCGCTACGAAGGTCTCTTAAACAAGCAAAAGGGCCGAATCCTCTGCATAAAATGGGACATTACCGGCGACAAGATCTTCACCGGGTCTTCAGACACCGTGCGAGTTTGGGACGCGGTTTCAGGCCACGTGATCCACAAAATGACGACAGCTCGCAAGGAAGTAAAAAAAGAAACAATTGTTTGGTGCCTAGGAGTCACCAACGACAACCAGATCGTCTCCGGAGACTCTCGGGGCGTTTTATCAATCTGGGACTCAGTAATGGGGACTTTGATCGAGTCTCACAACAGCCACACCGCGGATATCCTTGCGTTGACGATAACCCAGGACTCTAAGGTGATTTACTGCGCTGGAGTGGACCCAGTGGTCCGCAGTTTTGTAAAAGTCGTAAAACCCGGACGTGGAGCAGCCAGTTGGGTGAAAGGGATCGAGAGGAGGCTTCACTTGCACGACGTCCGTGCTCTGGTGGAAGCTGATAACAGGTTGTACTCCGCTGGAGTCGATGGGTACCTCGCACAGTCCAGCTACCCTCCGAAGATGCTCGCCAAGTACCCGCCACTCCTCCAGCCAACTTGCGTGACAGTTTGTCCGAAAAAGCGACGAGTCTTGCTGCGCTATGTTGACTTTTTGGAGCTCTGGGAGCTTGGAAGCGCCGCTGAAGACTCCGCAGTCACTCCTGGAATGTTTCACTCGCTAGAAAATGAGCCTAGGAAGCTTTTGGAGCTCAGGACTAAAAAACAGGAGACTATTACTTCGTATGCTATTTCTAGAGACTCTAAATTAATTGTTTATTCCACGGAGACTCATATGAGGATATTTAAATTCAAAGTTAATGGAGATGATGCTCAACTTACCAAGGCTACTGCGGATAGGATGTTGAAGCGGGTTCATAGGATGCTCTTTAGTCCGGATGGGAAGCTGTTTGTTGCTAATACTAATAGCAGTGATGGAGATGAGAGTGAGGAAGTCGGGAATAGGATTCATGTTTATAGGAAAGGTGATGATTCCTTGATGCTGGTGAAGTCTTTTTGTACTGCTGAGCAGAAGCTGGATAATATCGGGCTGATGTGCTTCTCTCCGGATAGTAAGTACTTGGTCTGCTCGGATCGGTCCGGAGGAATCGTTGTGTATGTTGTTGCTGAGCTGGGGTCGATGTCACCCGAATGGTGGTCGCTGCCCAGGTACTCATGCCCTCCAACTGCTATGGCTGTACAGAAGAGCTCCTCCAATCTGGTTGTCGTCTACGCTGATCAGAAGGTAATTATTATTGTGATGGGAGTTAACTGCCGGTTAAAAACAGGTTTAGCGAGATAATAATCGATTTTTGTTTTACCAGATAATCGAGTATAATTTACCAAGGAGGCTGTTCACTGAATTCTCAATGAACTTGCAGAGTAAATTACCTTCCAACTGGCTGGCAAGATATTTTCCTATTACAAATGTCACCTTTGATCCTAATAATGAGAGTGTGATTATTCTTAATGATGACACTACTGTTTATGCGTTGCATAAAAATAGAGATTTTCAGATTGTGGATAAGGCTAATAAAGTTATGAAACTTGAAGAAGATAATAGTAGATCTAGCTCGGGATCCAGTTCCCAAACGCAATCTGTTTGTCAACTTATTAAAAAGTATAAGGTATGTTTTTATTGTTTTTTTATCTGAAAAATTTTTATAATTAATTTTAGAGAATATTTTTATTTTTTATAGAATTTAATAATTTACTAGCACCCTTGCAGTCACTATGTGACTGCCGTGACTTGTAAAATATAAATAAATAACATTTTGCGTTATTAAATAATTATTTTTGTTAAATTTCACTGTACTTTTCTAAATATTGACGTTTTTAAAGATATAAGCTCATCCCGATGTTACACTCATTAAGGGCTTTCGTTTGAGTACCCACATGCATTTTTATATATTTTTCAGATATACATATATCTAAAATATATATAAATATATGAAAAATTGATGTGGGTACTCAAATGAAAGGTTTCAATGACTGTAATATCGGGGTGAGCTTATATCTTTAAAAATGTCAATAGTTTACAAGATACAAGATAATTTCTTAATTATTGATATTTTTAAAGATATAAGCTCATCCTAATGTTACAAGGTCATTTCTTAACGATATCAAATTTAACCATAAAAACCCATATCATATAAATACACTAGTCACAAAATTTTGCTTATTCTCTTAATAATATAGATAATTAGTAAAAATATATATTTTTTTAATATGTAATTTATTTTTAAGAGAAAAAAAAAATTATAATAAAGTTTTTTTTTTCAACAGCATTTAGTACATCTGGAATGGTTCAATAATGAAGAAATGGTAGCAGTTGAAGTAAACCCAATATCATTAACAGAAAAGCTACCACCGACGTTAAAACAAAAATTTTTCATAATGTAAATTGCAATAAAATTAATTTTATAAATACTTACTGGTATTAAATTGAAGTAATATAATAACAATAATTATAATGATAAATTATAACAGATAAATTCATCCAAGAATAATGAATTTCTGATGAGTAAAATGTTCTGGCAAAGACGTAATAATAGTATTTTTCGGCGAGATATGCAAACGCCCGAAAACTTCCAGATTATGCTCCGGTAGTGATGATCTCCAGCCAACTGTAGCAGAACTTGTCCGGGGAATAGCTGGCGATGGGTTGACTGCTCCTGGCGGTATTAAGTTCCGCTCAAATGATTTATTTGCGGGCAATAATTTATCCTTAAGCTCACGGACTTTCGATTCACCGAGATATTCTTCAACGAGCTATTAATAAAACCACAACATGAACGGTAAAGAATAAAAATCACTACAACTATAAATATAAGTATACAAAGCTATATATATATATATATATATATATATATATATTTTTTATAGTCATTTGAGTATTGATTTTTTCAATACGTACCCTCTTGACATTTTCACCAGACAGATGATCAAATCGCTTCCAATTTTTTTCCGCTTTCTTTTCAATGCATATCAGTTCCTTACTGACGTAGCGGTATCCCGCCAGTCATAACAACAACAATGATTATTATTATTATTATTATTTAATTAAAAAAAAAAGCAGTAAAGCTAGCTGATTAAATAATAAAAAATTAATGTCGTATCACTACCTCGTATTATCAGAACTCACGAGATCCTGACATCTGTCTGCTGTCGTAAGTTGTTTGCTAACATAAACTTTATCACTTTTTTTACTCTCTTCCGCGTTAGTTTTCTTCATTAGTGTGTCGCAATTATTTTACAAGTTTTAGGAGTGTAAGGTGTCATCACCTCGATAATAGTGTTAAATTAATAGAAGCTCGGTGCCTAAAAAAAAGCTAAATAAAGTAATCTTAAAATAAACAAAACCACAAGTTCAAGTATAGACGTCTAGCCGGTGAACATTCAAGAATCACTCAGCGATTGTTTGCTCGATAAGACCGTCGTCACGTCCAAAATCCGAATTACCCTTCTTCTTCTTCTTCTTCTTCTTCTTCTTCAGGTACTTTAATATCCGCTGGTACATCTGAAGTTTAAAAAATATAAATTAATTTTTTTTTATTTAAAAAAATTTAATTTGTAATTATTAAATTTTTTTCTTCTTAGCATTGATAAAAAATTTATTAAAATTTTAGTCTTCGCTTAAAAAAATTTTTTAATAAAATAAATTTAGGATATTAATAATAATCTTTTAAAACTAAAATGAAGTCAAGTGAAGTTTTAAAAATATAAATTAATTTTTTTTAATTAATTTAAAAAATTTAATTTTTAATTATTAAATTTTTTGTATTCTTAGTATTGATAAAAAATTTATTAAAAATTTTATAGTCTTCGCTTAAAAAATTTTTTTAATAAAATAAACTTTAAATTACTCAAATTAAAATTCGGATAATAATAATAATCTTTTAAAGCTAATATAAATTCAAGTGAAGTTTTAAAAATGTAAATTAATTTTTTTTAATTAATTTAAAAAATTTAATCTTCAATTATTAAATGTTTTTTCTTTTTAGTATTGATAAAAAATTTGATGTTAGCTTAAAAATTTTTTTTAAAAAACAAAATTTAAATTGCATAAAATATTAATAAAATTTTTTTGCAAAGTTTAAAAAATTTTTTATAAAAAAAATTTAAATTACTTAGAATAAATTAAAGGTAATAATAATAATCTTTTGAAAGTAATATGAGGTCAAGTGTAAGTGTTTTGGCTAGCAAACTACCTTAACATAAATGAATAAATATACGACATTAAATAGTGATGTAAATCAGGAATTTTTCGGGCATCCTCGTGTCGCTAAAAATAGCCAAAACCTAATACTGATATAAATAAAAGCATGGTGAGTAAAAAAGCGTGAATAGTATAGATACAAATAGATTACGTCAGAAAATTATCCCGGCGCTTGGTACTACTATACCAACTAGCAACTACCACCCATCCCCCGGGCCGCAGATCTGGACGGGGACGGTCTGAGCCAGTGTCTAGCCAACACCCCCTACCTCGCACCGTCGGTAGTCCGCACTCATACACATACACACATTCGCACAAATAAAACAGACACCTCCCCTGCGTCTCGGCTCTCTCCCCGTCTAGCCATGGCCATATAGCCCACACCTCCGCGACTGATGACTGACCCTCGTGTTATAGTCCAGGGGTAGCTGTAGCTGGAGGTAACAGCGGTCTAGCCGTCCAACTGTATACATTTTTTTTTTACATGTTACTTTATTTTATTTTACGATAAATATATTTTAAATAAGCTAAATTTATATCATTATTATTATTTTGGATGTAAAAATGTCTTATAATAATAATAATAATAATAATAATAATAATAATAATAATAATAATAATAATAACAAAAATAAAATTAAAATTTTTTAACAATATTTATTATTATTATTATTATTATTATTATTAATATTGAAAAAATTTAATTTTTGTAATTAAAAATTTAATTAAGTGATTTAAAAAGTCAATTTTAATTTTTTATAAATGTTTTTAATAAATTTTTGAAAAAAAAAAATTTTTTTTTAATTTTTTAATCACATTCATTAATTTTTTTTAACTTTTATATTAATTTTCAATTTCTTCAGAATAAATTACATCACTTTGATTAAAAAAACGATTATTAAATAATTAATCAAATTAATATATCAAAAATAATTGACAGTTTAAATAATATTTTAATAATAATAAATCATTAATCATATATAATTAATTCATCAATTATCAATTAAACAAAAGCTTATTATCGACATAAAAAGAAGAAAAAAAAAAGAGAGACTAAACAAAACTCTTAATCAACAAATTGTTAAAAATGAAAAAAGATAATAATTATTGTCATAATGTGATAATCAAAGTGAGTGTCCCAGATAAATTTATAAAACAAAGGTAGACATTACTTACTCACACTCAAGGCTGCTCTGAATATCAACAGACGAAAGATTACGCAATAAAAGTTACACACTAGAGAAACCTCGTGTATGTTCAGGTGGGCAGAAATCGGATAATTGTCATAGGTCAAGCCTCGAATAAAATAAAAATAAAACAAACTCAAGGATTTACGCAAAAGTAAATGCCTCTGTCTTTTTATTTTTTATTCGTACTTTTAAATAAAATCTCGTGTTTGCTCTCTTCTTCTTTAGTAACACCACCGAGAGACTGAAGGAAATCAGCCCGCATAACTCTATGCGTGAGTCAACCTCTGGAGCTTTAATAATAATAATAAGTTCTCTTGAAATTAACTTTGGCGTTCCAAGTAGTCAATTTCTTCATTTACGGAATCTGAAATAGTAAAAGATGAATCACGATCATTGAAAATCAATATTATTAAAATTCTATTAATAAATCGTACTTTGATTCATTACAATTGACATTTAAAATACTATTCTAATGTAGTACAAAGGTCGTCAAAAATATTTGTTCAATTTTTAGATTTAGGATCTGTAATTTGCATAAATATGAACCGATTTGCAACTTTTTTTTCCGTATTCGTCTATTCAGTAGCTATAGTTGCACGTAGGGGATTTTGAAAATTTTGATTTTTAAGATTTTTTTGGGCTGTTTGAATCCAAAAAATGAGGAAAAAAAAACGAAAAAATTTTTAATATGTCGCCTTTTTTTTTTTAAATCCAAATTTTCAAAACCCCCTACGTGGAACGATAACCACATGCATGCAGATTGCAACGCAGTTTGGTTTTTTTGTTTTAGATAATCCGTTTTTGAGTTAGAGATCCCACCGTGGTGGGGGAAATTTTTTTGGTGCTCCACAAGAATCCTTATAACTTTGTAACAACGTGATATTTTTTAATAAAAATTTAGGTGAATTATCTTCAGTGTATTCTTTATAAAACAAAAAAAAAACTGATCCTCAAATTCCTTTATTATCCCAGTCAAAAAAATTCCTTATTTTTTTGATCCTCACAGCGGCTATTCCCCTTAAATAAACTTCAAGAAAAAAATTATTTAATTAATAAATAATAATAATAATAATAATAATAATAATAATAATAATAATAAATATTGATTGAAAAAAATTTGAGAGATTTGAAAATTATTATTATTATTATTATTATTATTATTATTGTTGTTGTTGTTGTTGTTGTTGTTATTATTATTATTATTATTATTATTAAAAAAAATACTTAGTCTTATTTTTCTCATAATTATTATTATTATTATTATTATTATTATTGTTGTTGTTGTTGTTGTTGTTGTTATTATTATTATTATTATTATTATTAAAAAAAATACTTAGTCTTATTTTTCTCATAAAAAAAAATTTTATAAATTTTATGAAGCTCAGTAAAAAAAAAAAAATAATTTAATCATTTAAAAATTAAAAATCAAATAATTAAATAAACTAAATATTCTGAACGACCTCTTGTGTGCTTAAATGACAAAAATCATTGCATAATTAGTGTAATCTAGATTACACTAAGCGAGTGAATAAAAATTGGACGTTATTAAACGCTTAAATAATGAATGTAAAGTTAATCCGTGGAGCGGGTGAATCTGGATGTAAAGCTGGAGCTGGACCCGGAGATTTATCCGTTAGCCAGCGGCGGAGCTGTTGGTATCCTGAATCGTGAAGTGATGCCCGGCTGTAACTGACTCAGTATCTCAGCTCGGCTCTCATCTCTACTCGGGTGGATGGAGGATTGAAACCTCTGGTTGAACTGTACGTGTATCTCTTCCTCTTCCTCTAGCTCTCTGTCTCTATCTGGTCTCTTTTGCTCATACTCATCTGCGGTGTGGTGGCCAAAGGGGGAAGCCGCTGCTACGTACTCGTGACGTTGCGTCTAGACGCCCCCTCCAACGTGCGCGACGACGTCGTTCCTGATATGGTGAATTTGGTACGGATATATAGGTAGAATTTTGCGCACACTCTCTCACTGGATCTCCATCGGTGTTACCTCCACACTGTTACATCTACAGAACAGACGAAAGAGTAAGTATAGAGGCTCGAGGAGTTGGAGATAAAGAAGAGCAAGGTCCGAAGTAGCATCACTTTGTCAACGACTTACCCCTCTTTCTCAAACACCTTCGCGATCTCCAGCTTCGTCTTCTTCTAAGCTCACCACCACTTATCCTTATCTTTCTTCTCGCTTCTTACTGTTCTCTTTAATATCCCTCGTCTTTTTCCACGGTTACTTCCAGAGAAACATCCACATGACCTTGACAAGGCTATCTATATGTTAACAGTTTTATGCTCAAAATTATTATTTAAATTATTACATACTAAGCCAAAAAGTCCCGGCTTTTATTTATTGTCTTGATATTTTTTCCAAGCATTGAGATGACAACGTGTATTATGAAATACATTTTAATTCAAAAGGGATTGAAAATACGATAAAGTGGTGAAGAAATTTTTTTAAGGAAATTTAATTTTCTACAAAAAATGTCTCTTATGATTTTTTTGTATCTTTTATTTTTGACTCAGAATTTTGAATTTTAAAATTTAATTTATATTTTTTTTTAAATCTTGTTTTGAAGTTTATTTTAAATTTAAATTACAAAATATGGGCTAAGGGTTGGAGATACAACAAAATTGAGACCTTTTTTGTAGAGAATAAAATTTCTTAAAAAAAGGTCTCTTAAGTCTTTTCGTACCTTTAATTTTTGACTCAGAATTTTGAATTTAAAAATTAAATTTATTTTTTTTTTTAAATCTTGTTTTGGAGTTTTTTTTTAATTTAGATTAAAAAATCTGGGCTATGGGGAAGAAATACAAAAAAAATAAATCAGAATTTTTTTGTAGAAAATTAAATTTCTTAAAAAAAAAAATGTCTTGTGATTTTTTCGTATTTTTAATCTTTGACTCAGAAATTCGATTTTATATTTTTTTAAATCTTGTTTAGGAGTTTTTTTAATTTAGATTAAAAAATATGGGCTAAAGGTTAGAGATACAACAAAATTGAGACCTTTTTTCTAGAAAATAAAATTTCTTAAAAAAAATTTCTAATGATTTATTCGTATCTTCAATTTTTGACTCAAAATTTTGAATTTTAAAATTAAAATTATATTTTTAGATTTTTTTAAAATCTTATTTTGAGTTTTTTTAAATTTAAATTAAAAAATCTGGACTAGGGGTAAAAGATACAAGAGAATTGAATCAGACTTTTTTTCTGGAGAATAAAATTTCTTAAAAAAAAAGGTCTCTTTTGATTTTTTCGTTAAAATTAAAATTATATTTTTAGATTTTTTTTAAAATCTTATTTTGAGTTTTTTTAAATTTTAATTAAAAAATCTAAGCTAAGGGTAAGAGATACAAAAAAAATTGAATCAGACTTTTTTTGTAAAGAATAAAATTTCTTAAAAAAAAAAAAGTATTCTATGATTTTTTAATATCTGTAATATTTAAGTCATAAATTAAACTTCAAGGATTGAAACTGATTATTTGGTGAAGATTATAAAATAATTTACAGCTCACTGAAGATAATTTAAATTATAATTCGTGGGTGGGTTTTAAAAATTTTGAACGCGTAAAATCGACATAATAAAATGAATGATTAAATATTTAATAACAAATAATTCACAGCTGAGGGATTAAGTCTGGGAATTTATAAGCAAATATTTAATGATAGTGATTGTAGTTAAAGCTTAGAGCGAGTAAAACGCTCGCCAGTAGTAAAACCAGATCTGAAGGTATACGGAGTTTAGTGAATGCGCCAGGATGGAGAATAGAGGATAGTGAAAAGTGGTGAATTTTTAAACCTTGACAAAACGCAAATGCAATTTAGGAAGATGCAGTTTAACAATCCTCTCTGGTCCGCGACTAATACACAAGCTCATACAATACTTCTCCGAGTGAGTCTGTACTCTGTATTCTTGTAGTTAGTCTGCAGTCTGTAGTCTGCAGTCTGCCTCCTATCCACTAAAACTCCACGGTACAGTATAGTAGTAGTTGGTATTATGCAGAGGCGGTAGGGGTGAACGTTGAGGAGAGTAAGAGAGTGAGTAAAGTGAATCGGGGGTCTCCCGTCTAGACTAACCCCCGCCGAGACACCCTTCGCATCAGACATCAGACCACAGTATATAACCAAACTGTTGCAGTCACTCCAACTCTCTCTTTCTCTCTTTATGTTTCGTCTCTCGCTTGGAACCTTTTGAAAAATTCAAATATAATACACACCGTGTCAATTCGACATCATATATGATTGAGCAAGTTAACTCTCCTCTGGACGGCTGCTGGCTCTGAAAAAAAAAAAATTAAATTATTCAATTTGATTAATATATTAATTTTATTTAAGAAAAAATTTATTAAAGTTTTTTTTTTTTCTTTTAAATTGATAAAACATTTTTTGTTTTTGTATTACGGCTGAAAAAGTTAATCTAGAATTAAACATTTAGCGTTTTTTTAATCTTATCAAAATACTCGAGTGTTTTTTTTACGTAATCGATAAATTTTTTAATTTTTTCGGGGCATTCAAGTTCAGAAATTACAGTTTCAGTTTTTTTTTTAAGAATTAAGTATAAAAATTAATTAAAATAATTCAGGAGAAATTTTATACATATTAATTTATATAATTGATAGATTAAAAATTTCTAAGTAATCTATTGATTAAAAATTGAAGAAAAAAAATAATACAAAAATTATTTTTTTATAAATTATTTTTAAAAATAAACTACAACACTATCCTTTGATAAAATACGTATAAACTCCTAAATGTATTAGAAATATGATCGAGTGATAAGAAACTTTTTGTAAGAAAATTCAATTTCCTATAAAAAAAAGTCTCATGATTTTTTATATCGTTATTTTACTCAAAATACTAGAATTAAAAAATATGAAAAAATTGATGAAATATTTTTTATAAAAATTAAAATTTTTTTTATCTTCAATATTTGACTCAGAATAAAAAATTTAAAGTTTGAAAATTTTTCAGTACAAAAATTTAAAACAATTGTTTGAAGATATTTAAATTAAAATAAAAATTCTTTAAAAAAAATAAAAACATTTTTTGTCAGTAAACAAAAAAATTTAAATAATTTACTGATAAAAAAAAGTTGGAAATTTTTATTTTATTTAATTTAAAATGAAGAAATAAAAATAAAAAGAGAAACCCAAGACTTTGTTTAAAGATTTTTTGAGCGAGTCTAAACAGCGAGTCATCTTATTTCGCAAATAAAACCAGATATAATACCATGTGCAATTACATATACACAATGACGGCGACTTACTACACTTAAAAGCAACAACGGCCTCGCAATGACGGCGGTGGACAGCGAGGTAAGGGGGGTTCAACGACCCACTGACAGTCAGACAAGCGGACGCGGGCCAGACTATACTACTCCACAACTCGTGTTTTATTTTACTCATACTGGTGCACGCGAGACCCTGTACTATATACAACATATAAAACGCATAACCAGACCCACCACCAGTATCAGAGCATCTACCTACATACACATATGTACTGCCAGAAGGCATTCTGTCTCTCTTCTGTATGCACCGACACTGTATACCAGTATCAACGCATTATTATCCCCATCGACTTTTATCACCGGACGATAGAGTATAACTACCGACAACAACGAGTAGTTTCACTCGCTTATATGTTCTATCCATGGTTATATATCTGTATATCTGTATATTTGTATGTCTGATAGACTCATACTCTTCAACACATATCTACATTACACATCACACATATGTGTATGTATGTGTGTGCAATAACACAGACGCGACACGAGCCCAGGGATTTTGCGGGTTTGCTATCACAGTCCAGTGTCCATCGTCGCCAAAGAGTGTATGTACATACTATTAAATGCGGCGAGGTGCGATGGGACTTGATGCTACGGTTTGCCATTACCTAATGTGTCTGATCATCAGTCTGAAAATAATAGTCCTATATTATTATTATTTCTTTAAAAAGAAAATAAATTTTTACTTATCTGTTATAAAAAAAAAAAAATTTCTCGACTGGAGAACAAAATTCTTAGCTCAATAAAATTTTCGGGTGCTTGAAGGAAGACCGAAGTTGTGTTGGCTGAAATAAAAATTTTTCTTTAAATTCTATTCTTGGTGGTAATTTTTTCTTAATTCAAATTATCTTAAATACTTCATACAATAATTTTTTATATTTGATCAAGATTTTTAGATACTTTAGGGAAGCAGCGATACCTAAAGCTGAGAAAAAAATTTTCTCACCTTGAGAAAATTTTTCTCTTGAATATTTGATACCCATTTTATATTATTTTAGCGTGCAATTATACATATTGAATGAAAAAAAATATTAATCAATAAAGATATTAATGAAAATTTACTTCTATCTTTATATTTAATTTTTTGGAGCAAGAGAGAAATTTTCTCAAGACAAAATAATTTACTTCTATCAACAACTAAATTTTTTGGAGCAAGAGGCTGAATTTTTTCAAAACAACAAGATTTTTTTGGCTTAAATAAATTTTCTTGGATCAAGATACGTATTTTTTAAAGCAAGAGAATTAATTTTGTTGGAATAAATGAAATTTCTTGTCAAAGAAAAATTTTTTTTTCGCTCAAGAAAATAATTAGGAAGAAAAATTTTTTTTCTAAAAATGTATTTACTCTAAGGCCCATCCTGAAGATAAATTAAAAATTTTTTTATTTTTAAAAATAAGTTTAGAAAATTATTTAAAAAAAAATTTTTTAATTATCAGTTGTCTCTAAATTTAATTATCATTTTTTTTTTTAATAAAAAAATGTTAAATTTCTAAAAATTTGACTGATAAAAATGATGAAATATTTGGAAACTTACAAATAACTTCCCATTATTTTTAAAACTTATCATACAGAAAGTTTAGAATTATAAAGTTTAACAATTATATAAAGCATTTAAAAAAATAAACAAGAAATATTATTAATACGAGCTTGAATAAAGTTGGGTGCATGAAATTATAAATTAAACTTACTTGTTATTCGGTATTAATGATAACAATCGGCTGGAATTTATTAACTTGCGCAGGTGTGAGCAGTAGTTGTTGTGGATAAGCCGGACTGGCATGCAGAGCAACCGGAGCAGAATCAGCATCAAATGATTTTGCAGATAAATACTGGGTACCGGTACTGAATACTGGTATAGGTATACAGGGGAATGATAATTAATGATTTATATCTCTCTTAAATTCTTAGCACACTCAACTCAACCAATGTAAGTCCAACCGAGTAATTTATTCGAGTGCTTCCGTTGAACGCTACAAGACAATTTTACTAGTCTGACACATTTAACTGCAACATCTAAAACATATTAATATCATAAGTACTGTTTCAATAATAAATAATTGTTTCGTCGGGACAATAATGATAATAAAAGTCGGTTTATTTATAATTCCAATAAATTTAAGAGCAAGGTTTGAATTGAGTACTCAAATTTAATTTTTTTAATGAAATAATTTATATTCTTCGAGTTATGAATTTTAAATAATAAAAATAAAAATTATCTTTCTTTTTTTAAATAATTTCTGAAGAAAAAAAATTCCAATAGAAATTTTAAAAATCAATTAATGCAATTTTTTAAAACTAATTTATTTTTTAAATAAAATCCAAGTATGAAGAAATATCTGTTAATTTTAGTGTAATTCTAAAATCTCATTAAATAATCTTTAATTTGTACATCTACTTATTTTTTTAGAAACATAATTATATTTTATTGTATTCGTTTTGAGGATCATCCAAATTTTTTGTAGCTCTAAACAAATTTCCCATTTTAACAGCCGGGTATTATTTTAAACTTCTGTATTGAAAATATTGAACTATAAAAGCAAATACTAGTGTTCAACCCTCTATAATTCACCAATAAAGCAATAAGTTGTTTACAAAATAACTGGTTTTATGGTAAATTCATCCAATCAGTGAAAATAAATGAATATGTCGACCTATCATTTTGTTAATAAATAACAGGAGGGCTGGTAAAGGGCTCAAAGGATACTTTACCCTATAATGGTGTTATAAAAAATCGATGTGTGCTTTTTGGCAATTTTTTTATAAAAACCTGACTCTCTCCGTGAGTGTAGGGTGAATTTTTTAAATTAATAAAAATATAAATTCAGTAATTTGATATTTAGACTCAATAAGTATTAATGATTTTAATAAGTAATCTCAGAATATTAGTCATATAATCTGATATAAAACAATCGTGGATAAGCATAAAGTTTTGGAATTGAATTTTTATAAATAAATTACGGCAAAAAAAATTGACATGTAGAAATCTTAAAAAATTCAATTTTTTTCAAATAATTTTTCGGAAAAAATTTGTTTGTTAAATAAAATTAAAAAATCGTCAAAATGCTAACTTCAATATTGTATTAAATTATACAATAAATTTATATGAAAATTAATTTAGAAGATATTTGATGTTTTTAAGGATTTTTGTAACAAATAAATTATGACAAAAAAATTGACATGAAGAAATCTTAAAAAATTAAAAATGCAATTTTTAAAAATAATTTTTTTGTTAAATAAAATTAAAAAATGATCAAGTGACTGGTAATTTTAATGTCATTAAATTTACATGATATTAAAGTTAGCTGTCACTTCACAAGTTTTTAATTTTATTTAACAAGCAAATGTGTTCCGAGAAATTATTTTTAAAAAATTGCATTAATTTATTAAAATTTCTACATGTCAATTTTTTTTGACTTAATTTATTTATTAAAAAAATAATCAAATATTTACTAAATTGATTTTAATTAAATTTACCTGTATTGAAAGATTTTTTCATATCTTCACCATTATAACCTAAAAATTTTTAAACAATTTAAGAGCTCCATTCTTGCAAAAAAATTTTACCCAGGATAATAAAATAAAATTCATCTTAACTCCTCTGAAAAAAAAAAAAAAAAAAAAGTATTAATAAAATAATAATAATAATTTTCTCGAATGAGAAAACGCAAGAAAAAAAGAAAGGTCCAACAGAGTAGTAAGCGTTAATTGTATAAAAGCATCAGAGACAGACAAGACGCTGGTCCCTGGTACATATCTCTCTAAAACAAAATAACGACGATAAAACTGACGCCGTGTTGGCGGTCGAAGGGCCCGAGAAGAAGTATATGGTAAATAATAAAAGTAAAGCATCATCAGAATAATGCCATCGGCACAGTACCAGTACCCAGTTTCTAACCCAGAACAGTAGAACTCAGTCCTCATCTTCATATCCGAGAGCGTATATCAGCGGCTCCCGAGACTAACCGAGCGCCGGCGAATCTCTCCGATAATCACCGAGAATAAGCGGAAAATGTTGGTGAAGCGTCGCGACGGCGCTGAATGCTAGCTCTTAGCCCAACACACCAGTGCCATTCTACCACATACGACAGCTAACTGCTGCATATCCACCGGGTTTACGTTTTTTTTACACTCGCGGCCGCGACTTGCCTTATATTATTATTTTTTATTACAAACAAGTATCGAGTTTTAGTTTTTAGTTTGTGCTTAACCTCTACGCGCACGGACATTAATTTTTTCATTTTTTCCACCATAATATTTGTTTATTTATCATCCTGGATCATGAAGAAATTAATAATATGCTTATAGCTGAAAGCATTTAATATTTTATCTGTTGTTACTTGCTAACTAGTAATACTGGGCACGTATGTACACATTTATATGCATATAAATATATTATGGACGCTGTATAGTCTTGTTCAGCACACATGGTGAAGTTACACTGTGCAAGATATCATCATCATTATTATCATTATTATTATTATTATTATCATCAAATAATATAATATGAAGAAATAATTAAACGTGACACCACCACGAGGAAAATTTTTTATTTTATTTATTACATTATATTTTTTTTTAAATATACAAATATGTAATAATAAATAATTAATATGAATGTACACACTGCCGGACGCATGCGCGTTGAAGAAATCTCAATTTCCCCGCATACTTAACTAAACTCTTAAAATGATACTTCGTAAATAGGAATTGTTTTTTGGAGAGAAGAATTTTATTTGAGAGTTTTTAAATTGTTAAATATATATTTTATAAATCAAATGATACACTGCAGAAGGTGGAAGAACTTGGGAAGAAGAGATAGAGGAGGAGGAGGAGAAGAAGAAGAAGAAGAAAGGTGCTTTGAGAAGGAGATAAACTAGAGAGCAAGTGAGTGGATGACATCAATGAATATATATGTATGCTCCATGTAATGGATTAAATTTATATATACATATTATATGTATGTATTAGTGAAGTCAGCATGGCCGACCTTTTGATGACTCGCGAGAGCTAAGGCGTAACGACGCCTAGGCCGGTGACGCGAACATTAAATGCCGGTATTTTTATTATTGATTTTTAGCTGGCTAAATACCGAGAGTAGTGTAGTAGGCCGAGAATTATTTTGTTTATTACTAGTTTATCATCGAAAATATTTTTAGAAGTTTCGTGGGGAAGAAATTGGTTAAGTGAAAAATATATTGTTGATTTTTTTGGAATTTTAAAAGGTAAATTTGGAGTAAAAAAATTATGGTAATTTTGGGAGAAAATTTAATGTGTAAATAAATTTTGAGTTTTATTAATTAAATTGTTTT